TATCACATGCAGACCAAATGCTTCAGCTACATAATCAGCAATAAAAGAATGTGTGGCACCAGAATCAAACAAAACACTAAGCATTTCATCACGAATAGAAATCATACCTCGCACCAAACTAGCTGACCTCTCAGCCTCTTGCTGAGTCACTGCATATACTCGGGCAACTGGAGGTGGGAGAGGTAGAGATGGTTCCTCAACCACAATAGGAGCCGGAGTGGCCTGAATAGTAGAAACCTGTCCCCCATTAAAGGGGCAGTCCCTAATAAAATGCCCAGGTTGGCCACATTTGTAACACAGTCTTTGCTCTTTTCTGCAAACCCCTGCATGAACTTTACCACATGTAGCACATAGAGAAGCAGGCTTAATATTTCCAGGCTTAGAATTTCCCGCCTTTTTGAACTTACCATCAGACTGTCTAACCTGCAACCCTTTTCCTTTAGAATTCCCAGAGGTGTTTTTAGGACCAGAATTAGGAGCAGATTGGTCCTTATGCTTCCTTCTGTAATATTCTTGAATATTTTTACACTTTTTAACAAGTGCAGCAAAAGTATCAAACGAGTCACCTGCAAGTTTTTCAGAGATGTTATCATGTAATCCTCTATGAAATTTAAAAATCAAGTCAACCTCTGTAGGTGGAGCTCTCTGGAAATGAGAGTATTTGGCCAGCTTATTGAACTTATTCAAGTATTCATCAATAGACAACTGACCCTGCTTTAGTTCTTCAAATTCACCCTTCTTCCTTATCCGGGCTTCAGCCGGAAAGTATTTCAGCAAGAATTGCCTTTCAAATAAAGGCCAGGTAATAGCATAACCCTGACATTCCAAGGGCAGACGGGTATTTCTCCACCAATAAGCTGCATCATTCTGCAACATATAAGAAGCATACAACAATTTCTGCTGATCATCACACTCCATGACAGTAAAAATGCGATCCAATTCTTCTAACCACTGAATTGCAGCAATAGGATCAATGCCTCCTTTATAATTTGGTGGTGCATGTCTGCCCTCACCTCAACCAAGAGTAATCTCATCATTTCAATATTCGCCATTCTGCTTGCTGCCATCATTTCTTGATTGGCCAACCTATTAGCCTCTAACAGATCTTGATTTGCTTTCATCATCACTTCAAGCTCTCGCTGCCTAGCTGCAGCCATATTTTGTTGCATCTCAGTTAAGGCCATTATCATTGGATCTGGCTGTGAAGTATTTCCCCGCTGGTTTAGTCGGGGTCATGCCAAATCTGCTAATATTGGATCGGTCGGGTCAATAGGAGGATCAGAAGTCCTTCTTGGGCGAACCATAATTCTGCATATTTCACACAAAGGAATGAGTTAGCTACGCTCACACTCGGTGATCAGACATGCATATCATAGTATTCCAAGAAAAACTCAAGAATATAACAACCCGAACAGTTCATGCAATATTTCACAGGCTCTTCTAGAGAAACTGCTCTGATACCATAAATGTAACATCCCCGTCTCGAGCCGGTTCAATTAACATACACATGATATAAACAGAAACAACGGAAGACTTAACTTACGAAAATATGAGCTAACTTTTTCTTTTTCTAACTTAATTCTTACTCGGCGTAAACGAAAATCGGGCAGAGTTTCCTCTATAAATCGGACAACTGGGGATTTTCCAATCCCACTCAGAAGCATTTCCTGATAAACAGTTTATACAACATATCAATTCAGAAATACCAGATATCCAAATATAATCAAATACCCATACATGGGCGCATGCATAACATGGCTCCGTGCCACTAAATCTAACAGCATGCCATCAAAACATAAACCTATCTGAATACTACATCATCATATAACGTTCCTGAATACTCAAATGTACATGCATCAAACTGACAGACATGTACAAAACATATACAGGCCATATACAAAATAAAGGATCAATATCATGATCCATCAAATGCGAAAATACTAAAATACATCAAACACTCCAAAAAGGTAGTAGCCTACAGCCACTCAAAATCCGGTCTGTCAACTGCCTCAGCCACGTGTCGTGTCCCTGCCTAGTGAGGACTCACCGGAAATCTGGGCACCTGAAAATGTGTCCCCAAAGAGGGGTGAGATTACAAATCTCAATAAGCTCCAGGTTTATAGAGAATTCTCCATACCCCTGGCTCACTCCTGCATGAAAGCCAGATACAAAGTATACGAATACAACATATAACAGATATCATAACAGAACAGAGCATATATCCATATCATATCAGAGATGTGCGCCGTCATTCCCAAGGGAGGACCCCAAGCGGAAATCAACGCACGTGTTCCCGAGGGAGGACCCCAAAGCGGAACCAGACATATCAGAGGAGTACACCATCAGTCCCGAGGGAGGACCCCAAAGCGGACGTCCGGGTACTATACAATCAATGGCCAGAGATTGTTACAGAAATCAAATTACAGAAGTCATATCAGAGCAAAACATATCACGTTATCAAATAACTCTATATGAATGCATCTATACAAAGCATCTAAATCACAGTCATACAGTCCAACCATAGTTCACTAACCATGGTGGAGCACTCAAGCAGGAAAAGACTCCTTAAACATAGAGCTTACCTCTTGAAGCTTTACCAATACGCTTACTTGTGGAACAAGTTACTTTTATCACTTCAAGAGATTTCCGATCCTTCTCAATCCCTAGGCACACCTAGAGAATAATTTACAATGCATCAATAAAATGATGCAATACCATAATTATTTCATAAGCATACATTTTATCGCTTATTTTCCTTTCTTTGCATTTTTGCCAATCCTATGCCAATACACAAGTCTAGACCTCTTTATAACCGTTGGTGTTCTTTAATTTAATCAACCATTCCCTTAGGAATTTTCAACATAAATCATGCTACTTTTCTTCAAAACTCATCACTTTTATACAATTTATTACAACACATTTTATTTAAAATAAAATGTACAAAATATATCCCTAAATACCCTATAGGTCGAATCCTATAAGGGGAATTTCCAAAGATCCTTCTCTTTTACAATACATTTTCGTTACTTCATTACAACTTGCAAACACCTAGGAATGCTTCCACTAAATTCCTATTTTGAGTTTAGACACCAAGTCCTTTTTACTTAGGCATTCTTACTAACTCATCCATTTTCACTCATTTCCAACACACTATACCTTCACAATACATAATATAATTTTTCCACAATAACTCCTACTCACTCCATGATGGCCGAAACCTAGGAGGAAAATGCAATAGGGCTTTTAAATTTTTATATCACATGTGGATGCTTACTCAACACTATAACTTCCTAAACAACAATAATCTATCATAAATTTCACATTCTAACATCAATTATTCCCCACTCACAACATGCTCATATATTTCATAACTTAAATCATCAAAATTATATCATGGAAATAGAGGTTTCTTACCTCTAAACACTTGTACAAAGCCTAGAGAGCAATCTCCAAGCCAAGCTCCATCAAAAACTCACTTTTTCTCCTCCAATGAATAGTAACTCGAAAATGAGAGGAGGAATAACTCTTCACACACTCAACAAAACCTCAAATTGATGGTTGGAATGGGTTCATTGGGTGTTTTACAAGCAATTTCATGTGGTGGGTCTTTGAATTTGGAGTAGAAATGATGGAGAATCAAGGAGAAGAAATTCAAAACCCTACCCCCTTCTCCAATGGTGCAGCTCGGTTTTGAGAGGGTGAGAGGAGAGAGAAACTGATTTGGGATAATGAGACTAAGTCACTTATAAGGCTAGCACATGTGGCCTTTTTTAACAGATGTTTTTCTATCGCGTATTTTAACTTAAATTGACCCGGAACTAACTTAAAACTACGAACATATTTTTATTTTTCTAAAATCATTTACATTAATTTTTATCTATTACAAAACAATATTCATAATTCACAGTATGGTTTCTGCACCGTTTTTGACGAAATGCACTCTGAATCACTAATTGTACTTTATTTACTTTTAAAACTTAACACTTATAAACTTATCATTTTCTTGGGCCTATATTGACTTGCTTGGCATATATTGGACTTTCTTATTCTTATTTCATCAATTATTTATTTCTGGACTCTACCGGTTGCTTAAACAGCAGTACAAAATACCCGGTAGAAACACTATTCACGAGATTTTCACGGAAAGTGCAAGACTATACAATTTTTCGTTCTGAACTCATATTCGTCATCAGAATTTTCAAATTATGTTCCTAAAATTAATTTGCTCATTTTAAGCTCTACCGGTTAATTCACAAAACTGTAAATTCTCCGGCAGAACGCACTGTTCATAACATAGTCATGATTACAGTCAAAATACTCGAAATCGCTCACTGAATCTAATTATGGCATTTAAATCCTTAAATTAAATCTCTAACTAAGATTTACCAGTTAGGGTCATTATAACAGCCTATTCCAAATATGTGAAGACAATCAATACATATATACTAGTCTACCATATTCAATTTTCAAGACTACACATACAAGACACATACACTTGATTTTGATTCCAATTTATCAAAGTGTTCTAAATGGCGATTTCATAAAGCCAAAAACCATGATTAACAATCCCAAGCATGTTTAACAAATGGACTCACCTACAAATCACCCTCTAACTACTCATACCATTTAATTTTTGAAATTGACATATAGCCAAAAATCATGATTTTCTATAGTGAGCGAAACAATGATTTCTTTTTTTTTTCTTTCATCCAAAAGCAATCATAAGCATATTTAACAATGGAAGCTATATCCAAATCATTCTCTAACTATCCATACCATCAAATCCCAATTATACAACTCTAAATTCATGCATTTTGTCCAAAAATCACAAGGGGGGGGGGGGGGGGGGGTTAGGGCATTTACCTTAGGAGCCTTAATCTACTAGATGAAAGAAAACCAAGCTTCCAATCCAAGAAATGCACCTCCCACAAGCACAAATCCGAAAATGGGTCCTTCAAAATATGTTTCACTTACTCTCAAATACAACACCACAATGCAAAAAGATGAACAAATGTGTGAGATGAGAGGATTTGTGGTTGGTTGCCTTTGTTTCTCAATGAAATGTTGAAGCAAAATGGAAGAGATGAGAGAAAATCTCCCTTTGGTGGAGAGGAAGGGGCAGCGGGGATGAGAGAAAGAATGAGAGAGAGTTCGTAAGCTTTTGACACTTAAATGATTTAAATAACCCCAATGGGTATAAGTTCATCTATCCCGCTCACTTAACTCTCAAACTAACTTTACACATTGGTTTACAATATTTTTATGGTAATATTTACTATTTTATTTTTCACTTTCGGGTAACTTTGTCTACTCATATTTTTATCCCTTAACTGTCATTTTAACTTCTTTTTCACCAAAGATGACTTTATTTCTTTTTCTTATAATTTTCTTATAATTATTCTTTAATATTATGATTAAAATCATAAATTCATAATTAAATCCACAACTACAAATGTGAGGGTCACACTAGCACGGGATACGACACGACACTTCGACACGTTAATTCTAAAAAATGTTAGATTTCGACACGTTATAACACGTTTTAATATTAAATAATATTTTTAATTTATGTAGTGTATTTGGGTTAAATCTGATGAGTCAACTCGCCAACCTGCCAAAACGGACGGGTTGGGTTACACATTTCAACCCATCAACCTACCGCAACCCGCCCGCTTAGTTGTAGGTCAAAATAGGTTGGCGGTGGATCAGGGCGGGTTGGCCTGCGGGTCATTTTTTTTTTATTTACTAATAAGTAGAATTTTATTTGTCACTATGCTTTCGTGATTTGAAAGATTATTCGTATATAGAAGCAAAAATAAGTTCTTAAAAAATATCTAATTGAATATTAGTATACATTTAAGCTTTAGATTGAAAAAAAAAAATAACTAGGGTGAGTTGAGATTTTCAACCTATTTCAAGATGCAGGGCAAAGCATGCTAACCCGTTTTTGATAGGTTGGCGGCGAGGCGGGACGGGTCGACCCGTTTTGCAACCTCTAGCATATATCATGGACAACCTTATCATCTATTCCATACTTGTTATTGATATCATTGATTCCCGGAGCACTTCTTTATCATGTTAGTGCACTTCACCCCAGTTGTCAACACATTTGACAATAACATGAATACACTCTAAGTGTGTTGATCTTGCTATCATGTTTGGAATGATCGTTTAGTATCGAGTTTTGTTTTTGGCCATCACTAAAATCAAGGAGAAGTTAAACTTGTTGTCGCTGCCATCAATTGTGCCCGCGCAAAAAAATTCTGAAGGACCAGGATCAATGATGAAGTGGAGCATGGTGGTTCATCTAGTGCAAATATCTCGTCTCCTAGTTCTTCTTCGGGTTGATTTATCACTTTTATTCCTTGATGGAGGGTCACCATGGTGACCATCATGATGTGGTGGCGGCATTGGATTCCTACCATGTCTTCCCCTCCCAATCATGATTGACGGATTATGTTCAATACTCTCAAACCCAAAAGCAAGCAATGGACAACCAGACCAAAAAATAACACCAACAAAGGAAAAGGAAAATTAGGAAAAAAAGGGATACCTGAGATAAGAATGAAGATAAAGGCTTTGAAGAAATGAAGCCGAAATCCTAAAGTATGAAAACTTCGAAGATCAACACAAGAAGATTGTGCTCAAAGATGAAGAAAAAGGAATAAAGGCGAAATTTTTCTTCAAGAAGACGAGAAAGAGTAGCAAAGTGCTATGAAAACCGAAAGTTCCAAGTGAAGAAATCAAAGGAATTAAACACCAGGAAGTTGAAAAGGGGCTTAAAAACCCAGCCTTTGCAATACAGGGAGAAAAGACGGAAAGGTCATGGCAAAATTTGAAGGCATTACACGGTCACCATGGAAAAAATCGTAAAATCATAATGGGCTAAACTGTATTTTTTGACAGACAACCGAATCATTACAAGCGAAAACTAACGGTGTGCATAAACCAATCAAACGATGTCACGTGACCATTATCACCGCAAAAATTTGACAAGCGAAAAGGCGCTTTGGGAGAAAACTTGCAAAATAGCATCTCCTCGGATTACCACCGGCTATTGGCCAATACTAGAGGGCTTCGTAAACCGATTCGAAAAACTAAAAACCGAAAATCAAAAAATTAAAAAAATAAAAAAAATTAGAAATTTTAATTAGATTAGATCGATTTTTGAATTGGTTGATGAAAACCGATCCAATTCAAACCGATCCAATATATTAATTTCCCTCTATCTACTTGGTCTTTCCCCAGTCATAGCCCAAAAATTTCTAAACTTTAGACTCATTAACCCATCAACTAAACCAAAGAAAAAATCTAGTCACATCTCATCAACAAAATTTCATCTATGTAGAGCTTCATATCTCATTGCCCAAAAAAAAAACTATATTATCATTTATTGATGCTTTTGTATTTCAAAAAATAAATAAATTACAAAGCCAATATATACAAAAGATGTTATTTGCACAAAAATTATGAAACAAACTTTAGGATTTTCAAAAAACCGATAATCGATCCAATCCAAATCGAAAAAAACTGGATTGGATTGGATCAGATTTGAAAAAAAATCCAAACCGAATGAATGATAACATGATCAAACCGAAAGGATTGGATCATATGATTTTTGCTTTCAAAACCGATCCAATCCAGACCGCGAACACCCCTGACCAATACATGGAGGAAGAATTTTATTGTCCAGGCCATATAAAATTTAGGTGCTCCCTAATCCTAAGTCCAGGCCATACAAAATATAATATACAAAAATGTACAAAATCCACATATGTTGTCATTGTCTTTCTTCCTTCTCTAAACATAAGTCCTTAATCTTCTTACATCCCTGCCATTTTTATATTATTAGGCTGTGCTCGCTCTGTTTGGTTCAAATATCTTACTTACTTGGTATCAAGTGGTTCTGATTATTTCTTGATGTTGGTTCAAATTTGTTGTGAAGAAAATTCAAAACTAGAATATACTGGAAACGAGCTAACCCGCGAGCAATTTTCAAGCCAACACGAGCTATTTTTTCAAACCAACCCACGTGCCATATTTTTGAGTCAACCTGTGATCCAACCCTAACCCGACTCGGGTCGGGTTGAGTTGGGTTTTCCGGTTTATTTTTTTTCGAGCCAATCCTAACCCGGCTCATTTTTTTGGGTTACATGCAGGTTGGGCCGGGTCGAGCTGGGTTGGCCCGTTTTGCCAACTCTATCTCAACCACTTTAACAAGTTGTTATTCAAGACTTTTAGGCATCGTTGGATTCAGTGGCGGACTCAGGAAAATTTTTCTATGTCCGCACATTTAGTGGCGGGGGAATGGATGAAGAAATCATGAGAATGGAAAATCATGGGAATGAGTATATGACAGGGGAGGAAGAAAAGTTTTCTCTCTAATCAATTTGTGTTGATACGTTGTTTTAATCATCTCTGTACATTGCTACGTTGCTAACTAATATAAGAATAAATGTCATTTTTGGTCCCTAACAAAAAATTCGGTCTCCACTTTAGTCCATTATAAAAAAAAGAGAGTCACCTGGTCTCTATGAAATTTAAAGTGGACCTATTTTAGTCTTTTTGAGACTAATGTAAGTATTTTTTGAATTTGAGAGGGATCTCGATTTTAATTAAATTATCCACTTTGAATTTTTTAAGGACCTCCTAGAGACTAATTTTTGGTAAGGGACTAAAATGGAGACCATATTATTTGTTAGGGACTTAAAATGATATTTACTCCTACTATAAATATTGAGCCAAGAGACAAATAATAACTTACATGACTAAAAAAAAGAAAATTAAAATCCAAAATCTAATGTCCGCAGACCCAACCTGGGTCCGCTAGTGGTTGGATTTAAGAGGCATGGGTGGTTAAGGTTGGATCAGAGAAATTAAAATCTTATAAAAGAGGAGGAAACCACATCATTTCTTCATTATTTCACGTGTCTGGGTTGCTGTGTAGTTATTAGGATTTTACTTTCTCCTCTTTCCATCTTTTCTGCTCTTGTACTTTTTTTTGGAATTTGGATCTGTAATTGAAGACACTATTTGCAAGTTTGTACTGTTTTTCTTCAAATCTCGGAGAAGATAATATGTTCTTAAGCAGTTGATTTTGCAATTTCTAGTATTTGTTGTTTCATTTAGTTAATCAGATCTGTAAATCGAAGCTTATGCACTGTTAAGCTTGTTTGTCTAAGGGGACATTTAGTACATGAAAAAAATTTGGATTATCAAAAAAACTGATATTAGTAATCTTATTTATCCACGTTTGATACAAAGATTGTGAAAATTTTCTTGAGAATATGATTTTTCTATGATTCTACTTTCTAAACATTTTTAAGCCAAAATGTTATCCAAAAATACCACGCAGGTGGTGGTATTTTTTTATTCCAAGTATTTTTTACCTCCACGCTAGTGGCTTGGTGATGGCGCCACTAGCACCAAGTCCATATTGTTGCCTTCTTCTTCCCACGCTAGTGGCGTTGTGGTGGGAAGGCTAGCGCCAAATTCATTTTGTTGCTTTCTTCTTCTCGCGTTAATGTTGGGTGATGGCGCCACTAGTGCCCGCAGTGCAGTTGGGGCAATTCAATTTCTCAGTATTTATGGTAATATTTTGTCTTACAAAATAGCTTTTTTCTCACATTCCTGGAAAATTCATTTTCCTAACATATTCTTGGTAATCATGATTCTCAAGCATAAATTTTTTTTCTTTATACCAAACGTCATTTAATGGAAATTTTGGATTTTTTTCTCCTCCCCTACCTTTCTCATGTATTTCGAATTAGCCATGAGCTAAATCTATTTTAGGACCAAGATGTGATGGAACTCTGATTGGTTCAATGTTATAGACTGAATTGGATCTATGCGCAGCTGATTTAATTTATTCATTGTGCATAGTATGTTAATGCTAGTTAACACTTGGCCAATGTTAATTAGTTAATTAGGATTGATAATTGAAACGTTGTCTAATCTAGAAAACTTAATGAACAATGTGATTAAGGCTAGGAATAGTTTTAAACTCATAACCTAATAACCTCTGTTTTGTAAGGTTGCTCGAATCGAGAAGATACTAGTAAATTACCCGTGCGATGTCCAGAGAAAAAAAGAACAAAATTGTTGCCGCCGTCGTTGATTAATCATCGCACCGGTAAATCTAACACTTTCATCTTGCTATCATGCTCTGAACGGTAGTATGGTAGAGGTATAAACATGAAGGAACAAAAAATAAAAAAGCAAACCTATTATTTGAAAATTATCTGTAGTAAAAAAGAATTGTCTTACGATTTTTGAACTTTAAAAGACTACAACATTCACACAGAACTTTGTAAATATCAACCACAAACAAAAATTTGCAATTCAGAGGCATTGATTATTATGCAAATCAAATATGGTTATTTACTCAATAATTCAGTCTTCATATATAACTACCAATGAACCTTCTGCTTTGCATTATTATTAATATGATCCTGTTTTATTAATTCAACCGTACACAAAATTTGCTACAAAATAAAATCAATTAATATCATGAAGAAAAAAAGTAAATGTTGTGCTCATTGTTCATTTTGTTTAGAAGAACTTTTATTTATCACAATATGATTGTTCATTTTATTTAAATGTTTGTTTCCGAAATATTTACTGCAATAAATCTAATTATCTTAACTATACAAAGACGGGTTTGTTAGACAGTAGATATAAGGGGGGATGTGTTCGCGGGCGGGGTAGGCCGGCCATCCGGGCCGAGCTCATTTTGCCACCTCTAGTTATCAACGTTTTATATCATCACATAAAATAAGAAGGATGAAATTTTAATTTAATTATAAAAATGTGTTGGTGGGCCGGCCCTCCGAGCCGAGCTTAGTTTGCAACCTCTAACTATTAACATTTAATAGGTTTTTATATTTATCCACACAAAAAGGCTCTTATAGTTGCGTCTAGGTTTTTATATTTTATCGCAGAGATGAACTTTCATTTATTACAATTAGATTTATAAAACAATAATAAATAATTATTTTTTGCAATGATTTGTGTCGTTAGTATTTGAAATTTTATAAATTTGTATTTACAAAAATTGAAATCTGAATTAGGAATTTAATTATAAAAGAAGAATAGTGGAATTTTAAATTAATTATAAAAAACATGTTGGCGGACGAGGCGGGCAGGCCCTCTGGGCCAAGCCCAATTTGCAACCTTTAACTATCAGCATTTTATGTAAATAATTATTTTTTGCAAGGATTTGTGTCATTAGTATTTTGAATTTTACAAATCTGTATTTACAAAAAATAAAATCAGATTTAAGAATTTTATTATAAAAGAAGAAGGTTGAAATTTTAATTTAATTATAAAAAGGTGTTGGTGGGCCGGCCCTCCGGGCCGAGCCCAGTTTTCCACCTCTAACTATCAGCATGCAATATATTTTTATATTTATCCACAAAAAGGTTCTTATAGTCACATTTGGGTTTTTATATTTATCTCAGAGATGGACTTTCATTTGTTACAATCAGATTTAAAAAATAATAATAAATAATTTTTTTTTGCAAGGATTTGTGTCGTTTGTATTTGAAATTTTACAAATTTGTATTTACAAAAATCAAAATCAGATTTAGGAATTTAATTATAAAAGAGGAAGGATGAAATTTCAATTTAATTATAAAAATGTGTTGGTGGGCCGTCCCTCCGGTCCGAGTCTAGTT